GCTCAAAGTGGACGTTCCGGGTGTCGTTCTATTAGAGGTTTTACGGTATATATATTTTTATGTACGAATTTTAATGTTTTTTTTTGTTTTTTTTTAAAGCTTTGTCGAATAAATTTTTTTTGTTAAATATTTACAAAAATTTGGAAAAATTGAATAAAATCACTAAACCGAATTTTCTGAAGCAAAGAACTCCTGCGGCGCAGCAAATTCCTTTTTGTATTTGTATTGTATTGTATTTATTACGTAAAAAATACGTGGAAGAATAAAAGAAAAAAGAATGAAAAAGAGAATAAATAGACAAAAAAGGACATGGTGACATAAAATTGATATTACTTAACCTAGAAATGAATAATAGTGGATAATAACAAATCTTTTTCCGAACTTCTGACAGCAGCAGGCTTTTAGATCCGTTTTGTAGAGCTCATCATTTTACTAAGAACCCTATGTGTGAAGAAGTTTTGTTTAAGTTTAGACTTTGGAGTTTTCCATTGGTAGGTGTGGCGGCTGCGCGTTTTTGTCGATCTAATTTTGAAATATGATAAATGATTTGTATTGATTTTACCTAGAATGAGTTTATTGAAGAATTTCAGATCAAGCTTTTCCCGTCTAGATTGTAGTGATTCTAGGCTGAATTCGGTCAATCTGTCTTGAGATGTTTTGTAATCCTTATCAATTCTCGTTAAGTTTCTACCCACTATTCTATTCATCAATTTTCTAGTGAAGGAGCTTTGCACTTTCTCTATATTGTCAATGAGCAGTTTTTTAGAAGGGCTGGCTACCACCGTTCCATATTCCAAATACGGTCGCACAAAAGTCTTATATAGTAATGACATTAATCTAACGTTCTTACTATGATAAGTTTTAAAAATAGAGTAACTAGCGTATTTCGCCCTATTGATAGCTTTCTGCCGATGGTTAGAGAAATCTAATCTCTCAGTGATCATAAATCCTAAATCCCTAACTGTAGTTTCCCGTTTAATTTTGTCATTATCAAGGAAATAATTTATATATTTTGGGTTTTTACCAAGACTGATGCAGCAGGTCTTTGATAGATTTAATTCTAGTTTAGCATTCATTGAC